ACGTCGGTCCAATGTCGGTCCAACGAGCGGTCAACCCTGTCCAACGTCGGTCCAATGTCGGTCCAACGTAGCGGTTGACCCTGGTGACCACGATCAATGCAGGGCAGGGTGTTTTTGAATGTCATTGGTGAAAGAGCGCTAAAGCAACAATCTCGGACCCGTCGAACTGTTGGCGTAACTGCAATGGATGTGAAAGTGTGGATGTCAAGTTGGGTGAAGGTGAAAAAACAAAGGAAATCGTAACAGGGACCCCCTCACTTCTCGTTTGAGATGAGGAAGGGGCGGGGGCGAGTTGTATAGATTTGCATACTTCACGGATACACTAACCAGCGCGTATATGAATTAGCCGCTATGTTGTAATTTACGTAAAAGGGTGCGTGGGGTATCTCGTCCATCAGCTCACTCTATAAGATATTATCGCCTGTGTCACGCGGTTTTGTCGCCACAACAGCACTTCTGTAATACTCATGGGTAGATCTGTCCTACGCACAGAATCGATTGTTCCACACGTTCTCATCTAGGATTGCTGCTTCAAAAGGCGGTAGGCGGATGTAACCATATCCCCACGTGGTAAGGGATTTGGTCCATCGAAGACCTTCAATAATGTCATCTACATAAAGCGCACCGCCCTTCGGCCATCATGATTACTGCCTTTCTCTAGGCTAAATCAGGTCATGAATCCCCGTGGTTCTTGTGTTCTTGACTTCTCCTCGTCCCATCCGCTGTAAATCATACAGAGCACGTCATTCTAATTGAATCTAAGTACCTTTTTGAGATTGAGTAATCTGCCACAAACCGCGCTATTGCTCGAAGTTTTCTTTTTTTTCTATTCTAAATCGGATTATTGCACTATAGCTGTTGTTTGTAGAATGTCCAAGGAGCATAAACAAGGTTGATTCACCTTACCTTAGTCAATAAATTATCATCTGAATCGGCATTTCGCATTTGTTTTAGAAATTAGCGCACTCCGTTGTTTCAGGGCTCGTTCCTTAATTGGCAATGTGCGTTAAAATGTGATCCGATAGGTGTGGGAAGACGAGGTCTAACACTGGATTTACCACGAGGAAGGTGAGTGACTTCATGTTAATGATTTTTGTAGGTGTAATTGTGGCTAGCTACAGCCAACGCATGGCTTGTATGTCTTTATGTAGGCATTCCTAGCTGAATATCCTTGTCAAAATCATCAGATGATGGATGGCTTCGAAGGATTTGTAATTTTTTTGGTTACACTCCTGAGTCTTGAGATAGACTCTTGCTCACAGGTGGGAATCGCTCATGCCGATCTATCGGAAGCTGAACAGGTTGGGGCAGTATGAGCCATCCTCCCTTTTATGTCTTGGCACAAACTCCATTTCCCTCCTCTCCTCCAAGCTCTCTACGACCCTCTGTTGAGTAGTGCTTGACCGTGGTTCATCCACGGGCTAAACTTCTTCTCCTACTTGGTGTTATACTCCGCGCGTAGCCGCTCGACTGGTACAGCTGCTTGCGTGAGGTCAAGATCGAGTCACTGCGGTCGAACATTGCAAATTTGCGCTAGCAGTGCTACCAGTGCCTGTCTTCATAAAGTACCAATCTGAGAATGTCCATACCTACCTTCACTAAGTTCTTCACTCTTCTTTGCATTTTCTTCGTGTACACTATTTCTTCACCTCGAGGCTTGGGACTGTATGCTACCCTTCTCCTGGGGGAGGAGTACGAGAATCCTTCTAACTCTTCTTGATCTTCCAAACCTGAACCGCCCCGGAAAGGGCCTATTTGTAATGTACTATGAGTGTCAAAGAAAGCACATATTAGTGTGAGGTAACAAGGAAGCGAGAGTAAATACCTCCTCTTCAAAAAGCGAGAAAGTGTCGGGTGCAGACCAAACACCACAACTGACGACGGCCTCCAAGTAAATCTGGTTAGAAGTTGTTCATAGTGATAGCTGATTTCTGGTAAATGATAGTTGTAATTAGTGACAATCGATAGAATACAACTGCAACAGGCTAATCATTTCATTGGCAGAAAACATTACATTTTGTGAGGCCGTCGTCACTTGTGGTGCATGGTCTGCACCCGACACTTTCTCGCTTTTTGAAGGGAGGGTAAACAAAGGGGTTTTTGTTCCCCTATCCTGGAGGTAGGTAGCATGTGGCTAGGTTTATGAGCAGTGACAAACGTAAGTGTAGCTCTATCTTTAGAGCTCAGCCAAATGCGGATTTACTGTTGTTGGAATCAGCTGCTGATCTCCTTTGAAGAGTGGAAATTTTCAAACGTTTTTCAGGCACGAGTTCCGATTTCTGGCTGATGGAAAATGGTTGACGTCGTCATTGTACACGAAAGTGCCCAACGGGTTCGGTGGCGACAACAACCTGCTGTGGATAGAATAACAAGCAGAAAGAAGCGCCCTGCCATCTGACTTCATACATACGTCCTCTCCGATCGCTCTCTCTTTCTTTCTTTCTATCTCTCAAAGTCGCTATCCTCTCCATCGCAGTTCGCATCAACGATGATGATGATGATGATGATGATGATGATGATGATGATGATGATATTACGATGACGTTGACGATACTTCCTATGCTGTGAAGACCAACATATGAATACGACTGCGCATCACATTTGTACGTTTCCTCCCGAAACAAGAGAACCCAATCATCCCAGTTGTCCGTTCCGTTATCTTTCCTATTACTCTGTTTCTAATCTTTTATTTGGGTTATTAACACTGGTTTACGTTGAGATTTTACTAGAGCGTTGTGTGTAGGACATGTGTAGGTCAATAAAATATAAATGTGAGATATTTGAGACGGCGAATTGTATGTGGTTCGTGAAGAGAGTGCGAAAAAATGGTTTTCTCGATTTGCTATGGGTAGTTAGTGAAAAAGCAAAGGGCTGAATATTCGCAATATCCAGCAGTGTAAGCATTACAGATAACACGAACAGAAATTAGCGACAAAAATGGGCCTCAGTCTGTAGTGGTGGACAAGTGGTTTCTACGTAAAAGTGTATTTTACGCTAAATTGCTCTCCCATTGACAATTAAGGTAGAGGTGATGATCCATGATGAAGAGATGAAGAAAAACCGACGGAAGCGGCTCTGGATGAGCCCCACTCTCTCCCTTCATTTTCCGTTTGGGCGAGTTTCGTCGGTGCTGATGTCATCATGTGAACGCTTTACTCTACCTTTCTGGTGAAACAGCTCGAGTCCGACGGCAAGAGCTTACCTTTAGTCAGTCGATGGGCGTGTAGAGCAGCGACTGCTGCAGAAACGGCCTTGAATGTCCACAATAAGCGTAGTTGTTGCTGCAGAACGCGCATCGGAGCAGCATATGCGCACACAAAGCAGTAGCTTGGCTGCAAGGAGGCGAGATGTAGCGCTTTCACGACGAAAGGTGCGCTGGTTGCTGAGCAGTACTTGAAAACTCCGCCCCAAAAGCGATCCGCCCACTAGTTTAGTTGGTGATTTGGACGAGCTGTGTTGCCAGCAGCGGCACAACTGGAGCAACTTGACTGGAGCATGGTTTGGCATGGTGCCATTGAAAGTGTTACGG